TGCTCCAAGTAAACATCAAATTTAGCTAGTTCATCTGCAGTATGATTCGTTCCCTAGGAATCCAAACTATGTTAACATTCAAGCAATTCAAAGAATCCCAACCCCCTGTCAGATAATGATTCAGTCTCCAAGGACCCCCGTCTTTGTCTCTCAACCATTTTATCGTATTTGCTGAATCTCCCGCAATAATCAAATTCTGAATTCCCAAATTTTTTATTATCCTGATTCCGGTGAGAGCGGCCATCACTTCAGCCTTTATGGAGTCAGCCAAACCAATTGGGCCACTAAAAGTCCAGCATATATTATTATTGCCCCTTTCGTCCCTTACTATACCTCCAATACTAGCAGAACCAGGGTTGTCTAAGGCACAGTCGTCAAAGTTATGGGTAATCACCCCTTCACAGAAGAGTACGGGGTGTCTCAAGACTATTTGCTGGGGATGAGGGAAAAACAGAAAGGGGTAAACATCTCTATTAATATCATTGACTGAAATTCCTTTGAACAGATCTGAATTCACCGTCCAGAGATTGCAAAGGTAAGTAGTATCTGAGATTAATTCCTCCAGGGTTCTACTTTTATTATCGAAGAGGCGATTGTTTCTTTCTTCGCAAACACCCCACAACACTGCATGAAGCACTGGTTGCCAAAAAACTTTACCCCTTTTACTTAAACCTGTTCCTTGCCATTGGTGCAATATGTCCATAATGTGTTTTGGGAAAGTCCAGCTATAACCTGCCATTTTCAAGAAGTGGGACCATATCCTTTGGTTAAACCTGCAGTGAAGAAAGATGTGATCTGCAGATTCACCCTTGCTGAGGCATATAATACAAACATGGGGAGAAATGAAGCGTCTACCCAAGAGTTTTTTCTGAAGGAGATCGCAAGTATTAACTTTCTGGAGACAAGCTTCCCAAACAAAGAAGCAAATTCTTGTAGGTATGTGGCTAAACCAGATTTTCTTATATGGAAAAGTTCCTCAGCAATCAAAGCCCTGAACATAGACTTAAAAGAGAATTCGCCATTTGGGTGTAAGGTCCAGATTCGGGTGTCAGAATAAGAGGGGGAGATGTATGCTTCTTTGAGGGTCTGAATTAGGGCTATTAGATCAGAAATCTCTGAGTCCCTAAGGGGTCTTCTGAGGTGGAGGTTTAAGGAGTTCTCGGCAGTTTGGTTTGGAAGGTAGGAAGAAATAGTGGCTTCTTGGTCGAGGGATAGGTTAAAAAACCTAGGGAAAGAGGCATCTAGGGTGGAGTCCCCCCACCAATGATCTTTCCAGAATTTAATTTTAGAACCATATCCCACTTTATACCTTATAAAAGGAAAGAAAGAAGTATGAATGGAACAGATACCTTTCCAGGGATTTGTGGACTTTATCCTGTTCAAATGGAGATTGCAATCCCACCCATTTGCATTTAGGCCGTATTTGCTTGAGATGACAGCTGTCCAAAGAGCATTGGGTTCTTTTGGAAATCTCCAAAGCCATTTGCCTAGAAGAGCAGAATTTTTCTCTTTAAGCTGTCCAATACCCAATCCACCTTCCTCTTTAGGTCTGCATACTTGTTTCCAGCTGACTAAATGGCTTCTCTTTTTCCCCACCACCTTCCCAAAGAAAGTTCCTTTGGAGCTTCTCAATCTGATTTCTCACCTGTAACAGATACTCCAGCATCCTACTCACGGCACCTAACTCACACCTCCCTTCCTGCTCTGGTCTGTCCAACTAGGATGCTGGAGTATCTGTTACAGACAAGAACACACATCAGTAGACAAAACGGAAAGGACAAAGTTACTTGATTGATTGGGAGCCAAAGGAACTGTCTCAGGACCAAGAGTGTCAATGATCAAGTTCAAGTCTACACCTATTCCCTGTGCCTGAGTTTTCTGTAGAGGGTTATTATTTTTGTTTGCTAATGAAATTGTATTAATTGGTCAATCTAGGCTAGGTTTCAATTAAATGCAAAATTGGCTCTATTGGAACTTGGAAGTGCTCTAGAAACAAGAGGTTTCATGATAGATATCTCAATTTGACCTCATTTGTTTCCTTGGTTTTATAAGTCGTAACGGGGAAGAGATTGATGAGGATGTTGATGGAATTAGATTGAGAATGGTAAAATGTAGGGGGGGGGGCACTTTTGGAGTCCTATGTGATAGAAGAACATCACTTAAGCTAAATGTGTAATTTTATAAAATGGCTGTAAGGACAACATTGTTGTATGGCGCAGAGTCTTGGGAAGTCAGGAAACAGCATGTCTAAAAATTTAATGTAGAAGAAACATAATTTTGAGCTGATAAAAAAAATGGTGAAATGGATAAGTGGGAAAACTAGAATGCATAGTACTTCTTGGAGGGTGTACTAAAATGCATAGTTGTCAAGGCGATGACGCCTAGGCAATAAGGTAAGACATCAAATAATATTTTTATATTTTTATTTTATGTTGTTAATAGTAGTACAATATATATATATATCATTAGACTAAATTATGCATATTGTGGGCATATAGTATAAATATTATTATTCTTATATTAGTTTCTTTTTATTATTTTAATTTGTTTGGGTTCTATTGAGACGCAAGTCAATGGCATGGTCTTGAACCCTTTAGAACTTCAAAATCTCAATAAGTAAGCAATACCTTGAAGATATTATCCAATTGACACACAAGAACAATCAATAGTACTTTTCATCATCATCTTCTTCTTCCAAGGACCAAAACAAGAGCTCAGCTTTTTTGTTTTGTATGTTTTCTTTCCTTTATTGTTTTTTTTTTCTCATTCATATGTTGGTTTTCTATCTTTTCATATGGGGTTTATCCTTATTTCAAGAGGACTATGGTAATTATTAGTGTTGAAGATTACTGCTTATTACTATGAAACCTAGGGAACTACCCTAGGATTTATATTTTTTTATTAAAAAAAAACTCATCGCCTAGGCAACTAGACGACAAGGTGCTCTGCTATTTCCTAGCTTTAGCTTGGCACCTTGAGAACTATGCTAAAATGGGTTGGTCACATTCATAGAAGACCTTGTATTGCACCAATAAGGAGTGATATATTTCAAGTTGAATAGTTCAGAAATGCTACGAGCAGGCCATGAAGGGCATTGGTTCAATTCGTGAGAAATGATCTGTGTACCCATGATTTAATGATGGATATAAAGGCCATTACACAGTGTAGTTTCCAGCTATCTGTGGTCTTGGGAGGGGTAGACTGGATACGGCCCTAACAATTGAACCCTATCAGGTATGGTTTGGAGTTTAGGGTTCAGGGAGAATTAATGATCAAAAGATTCAAACCCAGGGCACATGCGACCAAGGTTTTTTCGCGTTTGAAGGATGGGCTTTGTGGGGTGGGGCCAGGTAATAAATTCAAAAGATTATGTAAATGGATAAGGGTGAAAGTTAATGATGATCACAACAAAGAGAAAATGGATTCTTTATAGTTTCAACAAGATAAATTAAGATACTCCTGCGATTGGGGAAGTGGATCTTGCTTAAAGACAAACAGTTGAATCAGATAGACTGTGAAAGAAAGAGTTTGGATAAGGAGGATTAAGGCTTGGAGTGTTGAGTTAGAAAGATTATGGGTCTCTTTTTTCTAGGTAGGAAGAATGTGCTAGGAAAACCTTCATGGAGTTGGAGAGGGGTAAGGAAGGTTAGGGTTGCTGAACTCAGTGGTAGAGATCGATGGAAGAGAATAGGTTTTATTAAAGTAGGGGGAGAAGAGGGATGCAATGTATTAGCATGGGCCTGCTGGATGGTTTGGTTAAAATAGGATTTGCTATGCTTCTTGAGGTGGAAGCCTGGAAAAGCAAAGTGCCATTGTTTGGTGTTGGTCTGAATGAGTAGGTGAAGAAGCTTAAGAAAAGCAACAAGAGGGTTGCAGGAGAGTAAAATCAAGGTGTTAGAGTTTGTTTGATTTGATTTTTGGAGTGTTGCGGTTTCTTGTGGTTGGTTTGTCTTTCTTTGATGGTCATTGTTTTTACCTTATTCGTTCCAATTTTATCGGATGTCTCTGAAGAGACTTGTTTTTACCTTGTTGTGGGGATTGTGTTGCAGTGTTGCTGGTTGTTGGATTTTCAGTTATTTTGAAATGCAGGGTTTTTTGTCCCTGAGGTGATTTCTTATCACCTTCTTGTATTCGTTTTTCTTTTAATAAAAAATTTATTTTACCTTACCAAAGCATATTACTTGCTGTATTGCAAGAGTTGCTGTTTGGGGAGGTTTTATTCAGATGTTTTGGGTGTGGACAGGTTATTTTGGTTGGTTTTGTTTATTGTTGTCTTTTTTGGGTGATTCCTCACCACCTGGTGTTGTATCTTGTATACTTGTATTTTGTCTTTGTAGTATTAATATATTTTCTTTATTTATCTTCTAAATAAAATTCTTGCAGAACACATCAGACTTATGAGATATTGTTCTCATTGGCTAGATAACTCAATAATCCGTCAAATGATGCAAAAATCATGCACAGCAGACTAGTGCTGACTCCTGAAAAGTTGGCTGTAAGAAAAGTACCATGATTTTCTTTTACTTTTAAAAATTCTAAGAGCTCTCAAAAACAAACACTTGAACTTAACTCTCTAAGATGATTCACCTTATTACTAGGACACTAACAAACTTAAAACAATAACTCTTAAAACACACTAATTACCAATAACCCAGAAACTACTTAACTGCCACTGGTGTAAGAATTTGAAAAAACATGGTTTCTTCCCCTTTTTCCATGTCTTTATCAATATGTCACTGATACTTTGATGCTTCATTTGCTTCTGTTCTTATTTGCCAAGAGTCACTAGGTGCACAATCTGACATAATTTTAATCGTCCTTTATGCTGATTATGCTTGGGAAAGGAAATTGTTCTTTGTCTTTTTCATGGACAGAAGAAACTTTATCGATTATGGGATAAAAGCAAAAGTAATTTTTGCACATTGTAATAAGTATATGTTAAAAATTAGGATACTATTACCTCTGTTGGTTATTAAGTTTTGAGTTGCTTCTTTTTGCAGGTTGTGGAACTTCTCATTCAAAAGTTGGAGAATGAGCCTAGTTTTCACCGTAGAGTGGACCTCTTCTTTCTTGTGGATTCTATCACACAATGCTCACATAGTCAGAAAGGTAGATGTATTTGCAGTGTGAGAGAACTGTCTGCATGCATTTTTGCTTGGCCAACATGAATCTGGCCTAGTAGATGTCTTTAAGTTAAATTGGTCTGACTTCTTCTATGATCTTGGATTAAGCTTAGATCCGAGGTTTGAAATGTCAGTTTTATTGGAAATTTTGACTACTTAAAATAAGAAATATCTCAGAAATATAGAGAATTGTGTAGCTTTATTTTAAAAGTTAAATAACATTTTAAATGTTCATCCATAAAAATACTTTTTTGTATTTTTTGATATTATAAAAAGATGCTCTTTTGAATAATGTATTAAAAGTGAGAAAAATAATGCTTCTGAAATGAATATACCATTTCAAGATGGCTTCTTCCTCTACTTAAAATTGATGTAAGGTTATTAGCTATTGATATTTTAGTTATAAATATTAGTTTATTTTGTTTTATTCAGTTATGTATATGTTTCTTGTGCTATTGTATTTTTTATCCTTTCATAAAACTTTAAATATTAAAATATTGAGTATATTTTGTTAAAATATAAATAAAATGTTTAAAAACACCTATTAAAATAAAAGATTTCAAAAAGGAAAAATCCTTTATAATTATAAACTTAAAAAAGTATCTTCTGTCTTTGGAACTGGCTCCTCTTTCTTCAAGGAACTGGCTCATTCCCCTCCTGTCTTTGGAATCCCTTTTCCAGTTTTGAAAGTTTGGGGTAGATCAATTCCTCGCAGAATTAGTGCTTTTTGTTGGGAAGTTTTCCTTGAAAAGTGTAACACTTGCGACTTACTTCAAAGAAAAAGGCCTAATTGGTGTTTATTCACACTGGTGCATCCTTTGTAAGAAGAATGGTGAGACTTGCTATCACTTGTTGGTTTCTTGCCCATTTGTTTCAGAAATTTGGTGTTGTTTTTTCTCTCTTTTTGGTGGCAGGTGGACCCCTCCCCCAAATGTTCAAAGCCTATTTCATTCTACTACTGTTAGGGGGCTGAAGAGGAGAGGGAAAATTCTGTCGAGGTGTGTAAGAGCAGCTGTATGTTGGACAGTCTGAAAGGAATCAACGGACCTTTTCATGGGAAAGAAAGAAATAAGGGTGCAATCATTGAACTGATTTCTATAAGGGTGATCCATTGGGTTAAAACTTTGCAAAGTTTTGAAAATTATTCAGAAGGAGACATCATCAGGAAGTGGAAAGAAGTGGCTTGGTCAGCTCCAAGAAAGAATGTATCCCACCCAATTTGGTCCCCTCCGGGGAAGGAAATCCAGGTCTGTCGGGTATAGGGGGAGCCTTTAGAGATGATGAAGGTCGAATTATTGCATTGTATTCTGGTTCTATTTGATGGGGGAACTCTCTTAGAGCTGAAATATTGGCTGTTTGGGAAGGGTTAAAAAGAGTGCAAGAGTTAAATATCAGAAAATTGATAGTGGAAGGTGACTCTAAGTTGGCTATAATTTGGTTGATGAAGGATACTTCTTGTATGTGGAAGTTTCTGAATGAAAAAAAGAAAGTTAGACATCTCACCCAAAATATGGAAGTGAAGTTTCAATGGATAAAGAGGTGCACCAACTCCTTGGCAGATTCATTGGCCAAACAAGGGGTGGGAAGAGTTAATTTCTTCTGGGCAACATTGTAATCTGAATTGCTTTCGTGGGAGGGTTAAGAATTTTTACCCCTCCTTTTGTACCTTTTCTTTTATTATCTTTTAATAAAAGTCTGTTATTTATCAAAAAAAACTTAAAAAAGTAATGATTTTAAAGAGAAAAGAATCATATTAGAGCATTTTTTTTTGAGAAAAGGTAGGGTATTATAAAAGTCTCTGTTTTTTGTTTGTTTGTTACAGTATAATTTCAATACAATACCTTACTTCTTTCTCAAAAAAAACATGCTTCTATATGATAAAATATGCCCAAGTTGCACAGTGGCAGGGTAGCAATTGAACAGACATTGCTTTGTAGTGTTTTCTGTTTTTGTCTGTTGGAGAACGATATTCTTAGGTCTTGCATTGCTGATCAAGAAAAAAATTCCTAGGTCTTGCAGTGGTAGTAACAACTAACCACACCTAAAGCTGTGTTTTGTTTGAAGGAAAAAGTAGGGAAAGGAAGGGAAAGGTAGAGAAACCTTTACAAACGTTGTAAAGGTTTCCCCATCTTTCCCTTCCTTTCCTTACCTTTTCCTTCAAACCAAACATAAACTAAGTGCATGCTCCTTTGAGGGATGCAATTTTAAATTAATGGTACAATTAATTTTGATTATTATTAATATTAATAATACAGTTATTGACTATGAGTTTGGTAGGTTTCTATTGGTCAATAAATATTTTATAATCTGATAAGAACAATTAAAAGTAAATATACTGAAATAGTGGTGTCTGCACATGTAATTGGTCTAGTTTTGCATTTCAATGAGTAGTACCCTGAAGGTATCACATTCTCAGTTAATTTTGCTAAAAAAAGTCCTTGTTTACATCTCTGCTTCCTTTATGTTCTTGGATAATTCTCTTTGAGTTCCTCCCACAAGCCCTGTTATCAGTTTTTTGTTTAAAATGACTCCAACAGTCCAGCCTTTCAAGAAATATATTACTTGCATATGTTTAATGCCTGGGCTTGTATTAAAATTTAAAAAGTGCTATGGCCAATGACCGATCTGCTTCTTTATTAAGCATCAATTGTTTTTGTGGTTTCTTTTGTTTTTATATTTGCACAGGAATTGCAGGAGCTGCATATATTCCCACAGTGCAAGCTGCACTTCCACGCTTATTGGGTGCTGCTGCTCCTCCAGGAGCTGGTGCTCGTGAAAATCGTCGCCAGTGTCTTAAGGTATAGCCCTACCTACAGTAGAATCTCTTTAATTGGAAGGCTTTTATTAAACTATCTTTTCCCCCCTCTAGGTGCTTCGGCTATGGCTTGAGCGGAAAATTTTGCCTGAATCAGTTCTTCGGCGTTACATGGATGATATTGGTGGCTCAAATGATGATATGGCTGCTGGTGTTTATCTTAGACGTCCATCTCGAGCTGAACGTGCTGTAGATGATCCGATCAGAGAAATGGAAGGGATGCTTGTTGATGAATATGGGAGGTGTGTAATCATCCTCCATTGGTTGCATTTGAAAATTTTGGTTCTCTTCTATAGAATGATAATAGGTTAATGAACCCGATACTTACTGTTATGAAGCTATGCATAATGCATATATATATATTCTGTTTATGATCCAACATATAAATGGTAAGTATTGAAGCATTTGGGCTGGGTTTTGTATTTGATCTAGGATACTAAATAATGTAGGTGCTGAAGAGTCAAAATTGGAATTTCTGAGTTTTATGTATTTACGTGTTTGTGGATAGTAGGGTTATTTTTGTCAAATTTGTCAACTTTTATCTAAGCTTATGCTAAGGTCATCTTCTCTTCCTGCTTTGGGCAGGCTGCTTCTCTGAAGGGTTGTGTGACTGTGGGTCATTAGATAAAATTTCTGATTTCCAATTTTCTGACTGTGTATGGTCTGTAAGATAGCAAGCCTATGAGTTGCATCATGCCCATTTATTTGTAGGTTCATTGTTTTGTTTCATCCTTTGTAATTATGTTATATCATTGAAGAATCCTTGTTTCCATTTAGCAGCTATTTAATGAATGTGTTATGGGAATTGCACAGAGTTATACCTTGTATAAAGCGACCGACTCTTATGTTTTTTTTTTCTCATTATCTTTTATTTGATTATTTGTTTTTTTCATTAACTTACTTTGTAATTGAGTTCTTAGTCTCCAACGAGGGAGAAACTTCGGCTTCACATATCCTGTCTTACTAAATGAGGTCCTCGTTGGAGTTTTTTTCCCTGAACCACAAAGTAATCATATAAACACGTTTAACAAGAAGGATGAAGTATATCATGTTTTCCAGTTTTTTATTATGTTCCTGCTGCTTGCTTTATGTAGTGGGGTCTAATGAAAGTATTTCTTGTGATCTTTTCAGCAATGCAACTTTCCAGTTGCCTGGATTGTTATCTATTAATGTATTTGAAGATGAGGAAGATCTTCCCAGAAGTACATGCAAGGAAATTAGTGGTGAGTCACCAGTGGAACCCAGCAATGCTATAGAAGAGCCAGAAACTTGTGCTGTTACTCCAAGTGACAAGCGTCATCACATTTTGGAGGATGTTGATGGTGAGCTTGAAATGGAAGATGTTTCTGGATCTCCAAAGGATGAAAGGCCTGCGACCAGAAATGATTCTTCTGAACCGGATCCCCAACAGCAGAATTCAGATAGGATTTTGGATTCAGGTTCTGATAATCTTGCTGAGCTTCCCCCTCTACCACCAGGCTCTCCACCATTGCCTTTAGAATCTCCACCTCCACCACCCCCCTTGCCCCCTTCACCACCTCCACCACCACCACCACCACCACCACCTTCATCTCCATCGCCTCCTCCTCCTCCTCCACCACCACCACTACCACCACCACCACTTCAGCAATCACAACCACCTCCGTTGGCAGTGCCACCTCGAGGCCATCCAGCATCGTTGCCACCTCAATCATCAATTCCTCCTCAAATGTCAATACCACTTCAACCATCGTTACCTCTAGCATCAATGCAATGCCAACCTTCATTGCCTCCACCATCATTGTTGCCTCAACCATCAATGCCACCTCAACCATCAATTCCATCTTCTACAACACAATTGGTATATCAGCAAACTGTACCTCAAGAATATTGTAGGAACCCCCTTCAAATGTTGTCTGGAGGTGCTCATCCAGGACATGCTAATGCTGCTGTGAAAAGTGAAATGTTTCCACAACAGTCACCTTGCTTTGTGCCTACAGGAGCTGGCAATACATGTGATCCTTCTGGCTTTAGTTCTTCAAGGCCATTTGACTATGGACATAAAGACATGTATTTTAATCCCCAATCTCAACCCAACCAGCAGTTCCAACCAGCTAATGCACCACCTTATACTCAGAGACCTTATCACCCTGGTACCCCTGCTCAAACCTCAACAAGTCATCTATACCCAAACCCGAAGCCAACAGTTCAACAGCACATGCAACAGTCATATCCTCGTTCCTACTCATTGCCATCTATTCCCAATGGTCGGGGGCAGTACATTTCTGATGAACAATGGAGAATGCCTTCAAGTGATTTTAATCCAGATAGTCAGTCTGGTATGTGGGTGAATGGAGGGAGGCCTCCATGTTCAGGGCCGCCGTTTTCCCAGGAAGGTATGCCATTCATTTTTTTGTTCTTTCCCCCCCCCCTCTATTTTGCTCTTTCTTTCATGTTAAAACAAGCCCTTGCAGTTTTTCTCGAGGAAGGAATAAAATAAAAGCAGGAAAAATGCCAGGCTTTCATCCAGTGCACCATGCTGATGGAAGCAGTCACTTGCCACTGTTTCACTCACAACTTACATTTCACTTTAATAAGAGGAAGTGGGGAACTGATTGGGGAATTTAGGGTTCAGTACCATATAATGTTACATTATGTGAAGGGATTAGCAATGCATGTGGTTTTCAACTGTTTGACACTTGACAATTCCCACTTTGGGAGATGTTTTTTGTAAAGAATCAACTCAAACTGATAACCAAAGCCTTGACCTTTTATACACATACACATGGTTCTTTTACAAAATCCACAAACTTACGTATATATATGCATAATTCTATAACAAAATCCAGATGACCTGTGTTTCTATGTTCTTATTGAAAAGATTGTATCTTTATCAGTCATATAACTGTTATTTTGATTGATAATGTTACTTAGAATATCCATCTTAACTTGTGCTGTTCATAAAAGAAGGAACCGATAATGGTAAATTTAATCTTCTTAACCATGGAAATACCACATTGTCTTCGTGTACTTCTATTTCCTGTCCTTTGATATGACTGTGCGAATATTATCTATACTATCAGTAATAATGATCCAAAAATTTCATTAATTAAAGACTAAAACTCCTACCCTCTATATGATCAAGTTTAGTGATGATGGATACACTGTATATGGCTGAAGGAAAGTAAAACACATAAAAAGACCCTGGTTGTGGAACTTCTTGTGTGTGTGTGTGTATGCATTATTATTATTATTTGTAATTTTAGAAAACTAATTGATGTAAGTGGGAAGGTGAAAAGTCCTATAAGAGGTGTACATGGTGGGTGCAGAAAAGAGATGATTTGTAGATAATGTTGTATTGACTTCGACATGGGAATCAGAATCTGATGTCTTTGTGGGGGCCTCACTTGGCAATATGAAAACAAGGATTGATGGATATGTTTACAGAAAATAATGTACTATTAAAACAGTCTATATTTTTTGAATTGTAATATACTTTTACATGAATATTTGCATCTATCATGAACATAATTTGTTGTGTGTGCCTCACTTGAAATCATGAGTCCTTCACCTGGCTTGCTGCTATATCTTGATGAACTAACCGTAGGTTTGATGTTAAATACATAATTTAGCCTATGTAGGACTTGAAAGTACAAAGCCACACCCTTCATGTTAACAGAACAATAGGCATTTGGAATATATTATTTTTTTTTGTAATTATTTTGATAAGTATTTTGTTTATCCTAATTTAAATTTATATATTCTTATATATTAAGTTCTTTTGGTTTCTTTTTGAAAATCAACATCTCACTTTGTTCCAGTACATGCCTTGCCTTGGTTCTTGCTCCTAGACTCTAGGAAGGTTTAGCAAGTATTGGTTAGTAGACATGTGACATTTACAGAGTTTCCTTTGACCTTTAGCTGGAATCTCAACATCTTTTAGGGTTATTGTCATGGGTTAAAATTTGTTTCATCATCCCTTATCCAGGTTTTGGACTGGTGGTGTATGACAGGCTCACACTACCAGAGTTATGGGTCAAAACTTGTTTCTTTTGTTTAACTTTGATATTTCTGGAAAGATTTTCATTTATTTGTCCAACAAGACGGAGATATTGTCAATCTTATGTGGATTAGGAAGGTATGGGCATTTTATTGGCAAGTTGTTGGTGAGTGGTGGTTTTGAATCTTAGTCAATGCTAGAAAATTAATCCTTTTTTGCCTTTTTCAAAAATCTATTGCAAGGTCTGGTGTAACCCTTTATCTATATAAGAGGCCCATAGCTGTAATATTATAAGAAATAGAATAAGTGGAAAAATGGTGAGAAGGTTGGCTAATGCTTGTGCTGATACACGGGCAAAACATGGGTTGAATAGGGGCTGTTTGTATTGGGTTCAATTATAATTGTTTTTTTATAGAGTTTTTGGAGAGGCTTCAATTCATGCCTCTCCTTGGGATGCTTGTAGTGCTTCAATTTTAAGATTATTGAAATCATTTTTTTGCTTATCAAAAGAAAAAACAAAGAATAAATGGAACAAGATCCATTAGAATTCAAAAACGACACCAATTTAAAAATTTGACTATACTTATGGAACTGGCTCTGTGTCCTTGGAAACTGGGGATTTCAAAGATCTTTCACATGGTTGAGAGATTTTAGGCACAGATTTGATGACACTGTATGTTTACCCATACCCTAGAGTGCAGTTGGGTTGGATGGATCAAACGGAGCCCTGCAGATCCTATGTTAAATTGTTTTTGTTTCCCCTGTGGCTCTTATGATACTCATCACATCTCTTCTTCCATTCCTGCATTTCTAACTTTTTTGATCAGTGCAGTATGGAATCCTCTTTGATCCTGTGATTTTTTTATTCTGTTTCTGTAGTTATAAGCTTGGCTGTTATTTTTTTCAATTGTCTTACACAGTTTGAAACCGACGTACCAATGACTTCTTTAATGAAAGGAAAGGATATTCATCATCATCATCATCATCATCATCATCATCATCCCAGCCTTATCCCAACAATATGAGGTTGTTTACATGAACATTAGTTTAAAATTTCTCTGTCTTGCTATTTCCTAACAAAAAAGTTCCTTCTGTCTACACAGGACAGCTTGGGGTTCTTTTTACTAATCTAATACAATCCTATTACTTATAAATAACATTCCTTACAAGAAACTAATGTTTGTCACTATCATGTATTTACATTTCCCTTCTTTGTGTACGTTGATCAGGTCATGTTTTGTCTGCTATTCTTTTGCTTTTTTTTTGGGATATGATTTCCTTGTACACAACTGTATCTCCTTATGTGCTTCTATTCTTTTTGTATTCTTTTTTTACCTATCACAAAGAAGTTGTTTATGGTTTTTCATATATCGTTTATTCTGGAAAAAAAAATAAAATTAGTGGGCTGTAGATATTCTAGGTCAATGTATGCACTGGATATTGCTTGGCTAAGGCAGAAGTATTTTACTATTGTTGAAACGTATCAATAATGTTCACCCCATTTGGAGATTTTCGAAGGAAAAATTGTAGGATTTTTTTAGACAAACTTTGTCTGGTGCATAAAACATGCAAGGATGTTGGTTTTTATGTTATGGATTTGGTTCTGGTGTGTAAAGGTTTCAAGAATATAGCCTGATTCAATTTTGATGTCAACCGGGAAGAGTTGTGATTCATTGAGCATATTCTGTTGTGTTTTCTTTTTTTTTTAATTATTTCCATGGGAAAAATCTATGATGCTGGTAAGACATGATATTGGAAAGGCATGCTGGTAAGACATGATATTGGAAAGGCTTTGACCAATCAAAACCACTCAAAAATTTTGATGAAAATCCACCTGCTTTGTTACCACTATAATGATGCCGGTTGATTCCAGTATCATGTCTTTCCAGCATCATAGTTGAACCCATTTTCACGGGACAACAGATGTAAACATACTTGGCTGAACCTCTTGGTCTTTTGTAAATTAGAGATGACCACCCTGTACTTAGCATGGGGACACTAATCTGACCTTTACTTTTTGACAGTCATTATCTATATTTTGAATTTAGACCACTATGGGGCAAGCACTCCCATATTATGTTTGGGATCCACCACTTGTGATAAATTAGAGGTTTTTTTGGTAAAGAAAAGATAAATTTGAGTCTGGTTTTTCATTTAGTTTTATTTTTCCTTTTTTTCAAAAAAAAAAAAAGAAAACTCTAAGAGAATGAAAATGGAATGGAGGTAACCACTCGCTTTTTTTTTTTGAGAATGGAAGCATCCATTCTTGGAAGCTCTCTTGAAAAAATATAAAGCCACATGTCTGAAAGAGAAGCTTTCTACATTGTTTTAACATTTAAACACATTAGTAATGACAAAATGATGTCTGTAATTGACCACTGACCCATGTCTTTGTAGTATAACTAATGTAGCTATGCCCTTGTTCATGTTTCTTTTCTACGAGCTGTAGAAATTTACAGGGAAAAAGTACTGATTGGAAGTTCTTGCCGAGGCTGAATAGTTTGGTTTACTGCCTGCCAAATTGGTTGCTAATCACTCCCTGAGAGAGAGACTATGGATGTATTAGTTAGGGAGCTTCAAATTTAATTTTGTTTGTAATTTTCTCACTTACATGAGTCCTAGTGATGTAGCCTAAGATCTTAATTCCTACCAAAGCTCATATGTAGTTGTCTTTTAATTGGTAAATTTGTGACATTGTTTCCACTTTCCAAAATATGAAATGGAGGGACTATTGCATGTTTTTGTATCTGAATTCATATACATGACGTATCTGTATGCCCATTTCCACATTTTCATGTATTACACCTTGTGACATAAATTTCATACATAATGTTATGCTTTTAATAATTCTCTTTTCTTAGTAAGTATTTATTAAGGAACAATAAAAATAGGCAGTACAAGCATCCCCACAGAGAGGCACGAGGTGCTACCTCTCACACATCAAGCATATTACAATTGAACCGAATACAGTATAAAAGTATTCACATACTTGGTATGGTTTTTATGTTAGCAGGCTACTTACGGCCACCTGCTGAAAGGCCATCCACAAATAATATGGGTTACCAACATCCTGTCCACAATCCCCTGACCTCTGGAGCTCCAATTCCAGGTGACCTTTTGTTGTAAATGTGCTGTTTGGCTGTATGGAATTGGTTCTAGCACTTGTCAGCATACTTCAAGGCATGAACTTTTTGGTGTTTATGGTTCCTTCAGGTCATGGTGTTGGCCATATGCTGCCTTGTAGACCAGATGTCTCTGCAATTAATTGTTGGAGGCCAGCTTAAGAATCACTCTGGAGCATTACGATTTAGACTTTGGTGAGTTTTTTGTATGCAATATGTCCATATAAGATGTTTAGTGATATTTCCTTTTAAAAGGATATTGTTTAACTTTCAGAAACCTAGCATCTTTTTGTTGAAGACCGACCTTAAAGCCATCTCAAATGTGTCTTCTATTTGTAGCACATGGTTAATGCACTGTACAAGATGATCAAGTTAATGTGCACTTATTAATGAAATTTAGCAGAAGTTATACTTGTTGGAAATTCTGGCCATCCTAATTTCTGGTTCATGGAAGACGCATTGGCTAAAAACATTGAAGCATTTGAAACACTGCCAAGGAAGACATTATTAGTATTTGTCAAAAGAGTTGACATTGTTAGAAATTAGCAGCAAGTTGTGAATTCCTCCATGCATAGATTTGTTCCTAACCTCCTCTTGGTTCCATCAAGATTGGGATTTAATGAAAATTTGATAGTTGTAGCTTGAGATGCCCTGGTCTATTAGGTCTAGGAGTCTTTAGAAATTGTGATGGAAGTATGATAGCCTTGTATTAAGAGCCAATTTCTGTGGTGGTTCAACTATAACTGTGCTGTTGGCGGTTTTGCAAGGATTGGGCATCACTAAATGTAGTTATTTCAACCTGGTGGTGGAAGACAACTCCAAAAACAGTTGTGGGTTGGTTAAGGAGAAATGCATTATGATGAAGATAAGGTAAATGGCAAAGGATCTGGGGACAGATTTGACAAAGTTTAAGTGGATTCCAACTAAATAAGCAATTGCTTGTAATCAGTTTTACTTGGGTTTGATTCCCTAAAAGTGAATTGTAGGGAAAATGAGAGTGGGCGCTAGAGGGGAGTGACAAAATGAAAGTTCTGGCATGGAAAACCGATAGCTCTGTAACGGTGGGTTCCTGTAAGCAACGCCTCTCCAGACTCCTTAGTCTTTAACGGCTGGCTAAAAATCCACGGGCTGCCCTACCATCTCTGGACTGAGGAGCTCTTCATCCTAATCGGAAGCTTGTGCAGTGGCTTAGAGGAAATCGACAGGAAAACTAAAGATCTTTCAGCCTTGAGTTTTGTGCGTATAAAGGTTAGAAGTCGCAGAGTTCATGCGATTCCCCGCTCCATTCCTCTGTTAGAGCGCGGAATCTGGTTCTACCTCTCAGTTGAAGTGGAGAAGATGACCGAGTCTCCTCCCCAACCTGCTGAGTCAACTCACCTCCCCCTTCCCAAAATAGGAGCTGAAGACTCTGCAGGAACAAAAGCCTTTGTGGGGCTCTTTCGTAAGCTAGAAGGAAGGAAACCAGTAGAAAAAGCCCTTATGGAGAAACCTAAAGAGTTACCTAAAAAAGCTTCTTCTAGGCTCTATAAAAAAAGGAGCCGAAAAAGCAAGGCAGGTCAACCCCCTCTCGACTTGAATTTTCAAAATTCAATTTTAAACCAAAATCTGGGCCGGCCCCCAAATAGGCCTCATTTAACAGACCCATGTCAGAAGCAAGTGTTGGGCAGAACCTCCCCCAAAGCCCATCTGTTAAGATCGAAAGAAGTTCTGCCAGGCCCAAGCCCACCTTAGACCCCATCTTCTCTCACCGAGCCGATGCCTGAAACTCCCCCAAGTTCAGGAAAACATAACAGGGAGGTTTTCAGAAGAGCCAAGCTCATCCTCTCCACTCGAGGCAGACGAATCCGAATATGAAGAAGAGGCAAGTCCCTGTGAAACAGAGACTGAACCAGACCCCAGGGAGGTGGCGTTCTCAAGGGCTAAAGCTCTGTTTTCTGGAAAGGAAGCATGGGGCAGCGTGGATATCCTCAAACAGACACTCCTCGTTCACCCTGAATATGGAGCAAATTATGAACCAACAAGCCTAGAGAGAGATGGAAGACGAGAATCTAGCCTTCGAACTAGAGTTTCTTTTTCTCCCTCCCATACCTCGCCTGTCTTTCATTCTTTGCCTTCTCCAAATCTGGGTTCTCATTTTACTTCTTCCCTTTGTGTTTCAGGTTTGAACGGAGACCTCTCCCAACCATGCATTAACCCAAGAACCCACAAAAAGTCAGAGGAAAGGTAGCTCAGTTTTGATAGACATAGACGGGACAACAATCCGGGAAGAGAAGTTACTGAAATGGCCAGGAAATTGGGGATAAGCAAAAAAAGGGGAAGAAGCAGAGCAGAAGGCTGAATTTGTGACCATAGGCAAAAGGACCTCAAAAAGGGAGTTAAGGAGACTTCAATGGGGAATGTCAGATCAAAAAACAAGGCCTAGGGCGGTTAAGGGAAAATCAGCGATAGAAGCTCAATGAAATTATTAAGCTGGAATGTCAGAGGGTTGGGAGGCCAACTAAAAAGAAGTTTGGTAAAGGAATCCCTGAGAAGAGAAAAACCAGATATTGTCATCCTTCAAGAAACAAAAAAAGAAGTGGATAGGAAGCTTCTGAGAGCAATTTGGGGAATCCGTGGCAAGAAATGGGTCTCTCTTCCAGCTTTAGGTGCCTCAGGGGGAATCATCCTAGCATGGAATGAAGAGGAGGTTTCTGGTACTGAAATAGACAGAGGAAAGTACTCAATCTCTGTCCTTTTCACTAATAAGTCTGATGGATTCAATTGGATTCTGACAGGAGTTTACGGGCCTAATGCACCTTCAGACAGGCAAAGTTTTTGGGAGGAATTGGATGCTCTCCACGAGTTTGACGGAATCCCTTGGGTTCTAGGAGGTGTTTTCAACGTAACAAGGTTCCCTCAAGAAAACTCCAACAGAAGAGCTACAACTAGAAGCATCAGAGGATTCTCCAGTTTTATTTCGAGGAACAACCTTTGTGACCTTCCTTTCCACAACGGACAGTTCACTTGGTCAAACCTTCAAGAGAATCCAATAAGCTGCAGACTAGATAGGTTTCTGGTTTCCTCAGACTGGGCAGAGAATTTTCCAAATCTCCTCCAAGAAATCAGATGTCGTTGTACTTCAGACCACTGGCCTCTAGTCTTGAGAACAGATCTGGCTTTGAAAGGAAAACACCCTGGCTTTGAATGTAAAGCTGAAGGCAGGGTACAAATTGCTGCAAAAGCTGAAATTCTTGAAAAGAAAACTGAAGTACTGGGTGAGAGAAGAGTTCAAATCATTCACAAAAGAAAAAAAAATGCCATCCTCATGGAGCTGGAAGAGTTGGACAAAAAAGAGCAATCAGGAGACCTGGATGGAGATGGAAGAAGCAGTAAAGATGCTCTAAGGAGTTTGTGGGAAAAGGTAATCTGAAAAGAATAAATTTTTTGGAGGCAAAGGTCAAGGGTCAGATGGTTAAAGGAAGGAGACAACAMCACAAAATTCTTCCACAACTATGCATCGGGTAGGCGTAGAAAGAATCTCATCTCAAAAATTAAGGTGGACCAGAGGGAAGTGGAAGATGTAGAGGAGATCACTGAGACTTTTCTAAACCACTTCAAATCTCTTTACTCCAAGGAAAGGGCTAGGTGCTTTAACTTAAGAAACTGGGAAGGGCCGACTCTAGCAGAAGACGAGAACTTGGCTTGAAAGGGAATTTGAAGAGCAAGAAATTAGAGAAGCAGTCTTTGATATGGATGGAGATAGAGCACCTGGGCCTGATGGGTTCCCGATCTTCTTCTTCCAGATCTGTTGGGAGGTAGTAAAAGAGGACCTTTTGGAGGTCTTTAAAGAATTCCACTCCACGGGGGTGATTAATAAAGGAATTAACTCCATTTTCATATGCCTCATTCCAAAGAAAAATGGTATCTTGGAAGTAAAAGACTACAGGCCAATAAGTCTAGTAGGGAGTGTGTACAAAATAATGGCAAAGGTGTTGGCAAAACGACTCAGAGAAGTCCTAAAAGAGTTGGTTTCTCAAACCCAGTTTGCTTTTGTGAAAGGAAGACAAATTGTAGATAGCACCCTAATTGCAAATGAAGTCGTAGAAGAGAGAAGGAAGAGTGGAAGGAAGGGCCTTTTAGTGAAACTAGACCTTGAAAAAGCTTATGATAAGGTTGATTGGGATTGCCTGCTCCAGATTCTAAACTTGAAGGGTTTTGGTTCAAAATGGCTGCAGTGGATGAAAGGCTTTATTAGTTCTACCTGGTTCTCGATCATGATCAATGGAGAGTCTAAAGGCTACGGCAGGGATGTCCCCTCTCCCCATTCCTCTTTACAATGGTAATGGATGTTTTCAGCCAGCTTATGGAGAAAGCTAAAAACCTCAATTTGATCAAAGGTTTTGAGGTCAAAAGAGATGCCATAAATGTTTCCCACCTCCTCTTTGCTGATGATGTCATCTTATTCCTAGAAGCCAATTTGGAGAACATTTCAAATGTGAAAAGAGTGCTTCAGTGTTTTGAACTAGTATCAGGGCTGAAGGTAAATTACGCTAAGAGCAACCTAGCGGCAATAAAGCAAATTAAAGTGTCCCTGATGGAAAGTTTCAAGGAAACTCTGAATTGTCGAGTGGAAAATCTCCCCCTTTCTTATTTGGGCATGCCACTAGGAGGTAACCCAAAAAATTCAAGCTTTTGGGAACTTGTGGTGGAAAAGTGTGAAAAGAAGTTAGCTACTTGGAAAAGCTGCTACCTATCAAAAGGGGGTAGAATCACTAGGCCTCCCTTGCGAACATGCCTGTCTATTTCCTATCAGTTTTTCAGATCCCTGCAAGAATCAGATCACAGATCGAGAAAATCCAAAGAGATTTCCTTTGGGAAGGTGGAGGTGTCAAGAAAGGGCATCTAGTTAATTGGAATCGGGTCTGTAAACCAAAAGAGGCTGGAGGATTAGGAATCTGGCATTTAAAAGAGAAAAACAATGCCCTTCTTGGAAAATGGCTGTGGAGATTCCCCACGGGATCAAATTCTCTCTGGGCAACTATCATCACCAGCAAATATGGGTTGAATGCAAATGGTTGGGACTGCAATCTCTGATCAAACCGATCAGCTCTCTCTAATCCCTGGAAAGGTATTTCTGCTATTCACAACCTCTTTTTTTCTTTCATTAGATACAAGGTAGGTAACAGTAATAGAATAAAATTCTGGACGGATTTGTG